GGCGCAGTGAATAGAGCACTGGCCCTGAAGTCAGGAGGACCTGAGTTCAAATCCGGCCTCAGCCAGAACACTTGACACTTACTAGCTGTGTGACCCTGGGCAAGTCACTTAACCCCAACTGCCTCACTAAAAAACAAAAAAAAAACAAACAAACAAAAAAAAAAAAGGGAAAAGGACCTACATGTACAAAAATATTTACAACAGCTCTTTTTTGTGCTGGCAAAGAATTGGAAATTGAATGGATACCCATCATTTGGGGAATGGCTGAACAAGCTGTGGTAATGGAATACTATTGTGTTATAAGAAATTATGAGCAGGCTGATTTAAAAAAAACCTGGAAAGACTTAAATGAACTGATGCTGACTGAAATGAGCAGAACCAGAAGAACACTGTACACAATAACAGCAATACTGTGATGGACTATGATTGACCTAGCTCTTCTCAGCAATGCAATGATCTAAGACAACTCCAAAAGACTTGTGATGGAAAATGCTATCCACATCCAGAGAAAGAACTATGCAGTCTGAATGCAGATCAAAGCATACTGTTTTCACTTTTTTTGTGCTTTTCGAAAACCCTTTTGTTTTGTTTCTTCTTTCACAACATGATCAATGTGGAAATATGTTTAACATGATTGCACATGTATAACTTATATTAGATTGTTTGCCATCTTAGGGAAGGAGGAAGAAGGGAGAGAAAAATGTGGAACTCAAAATCTTATAAAAAATGAATGTTGAAAAGTAAAAAAAAAAAATGATATCACACCAACAGAAACGGGGTTTATTGATTTGGATGTTTTGTTGTTGTTGTTCACCCCATTTGGGGTTTTCTTGACAAAGATACTGGAGTAGTTTGCCATTTCTCTCTCCAGTTGATTTTACAGATGAGGAAACTGAGGCAAAGAGGGTTAAGTGACTTGCTTAGGCTCACACAGATAATAAGTGTCTGTGGCTAGATTTGAACTCAGGAAGATGAGTCTTCCTGACTCCAGGCCCAGCACTCTATCCACTGTACCACCTGGTTGTCCTATTGACTTAGATAGGAGAGGGTTTTTGTTTTTTGAGGTTTTCTGCCAGATGACTATACAGTGATATTCCTAAAGCACAGGTCACTTCTCTTGCTCAATAAACTCCAATGGCTGTCTATTAATTCTAAGATAAAATACCACCTTTTCTGTTTGGCAAAGAAAGCCTTTCCCAATCTGGCTCCAACCTACTTCTATTCATTACTCCCTTTCAGCCACTGTACAGTCTGGCTAAACTGGCCTTTTTGTTTTTCCTCATGCTATTCCTCTCTCTCTACCTTTGTCTAAGCTATTCCCCATATTTGGAACATAGTCCCTTCTCACTTCTGCCTCTTAAAATCCCTCATTTCCTTCAAATTCAGTTCAATCACTATCTTATGGTGAGGCCTTTTCTGATCCCTCTAAGCTGCTCATACTTCGCCAGAAAAATCACCTTGAACTTATTTGTATATACATATTTATGTCCCTGTCTCCCCTAATATAATCTAAGTTCCTTGAGGGCAGGGGCTGTTTCTCCCCCACCCTTTTTTTTTTTGCCTTGGTATGCCCACTGCTTAGAACAGTCATGTAGCACATAGCAGGCCTTAACAAATGCTTGCTGATTGATTAAGGTTGTCCTGTTGTCAAAGAGAGGAAAGTCAGAAAAAAAGCATCAGTTGATAGGAAAGATGAAGAGTTTGGTTTTGGACATAGTGAGTTTGAAGTCCTCCATGAAGTCACACTTGGATACCGTCTTACCATGCGGAAGTAACTCTGGGTTCTCAAAGACAGTAGCAATGGAGCACAAACTTGGGTGGGTTCTACCCAGTTGGAAAGGTTTTCAATACAGTCCTGGCCACAGACCATGTCTGCTCTTTAAGAACCAACCTAGCCAAGTACAGAGAAGTGAAACAACAGTATGTTGGTGATTATTTGGCCATGGCAACCAATGAAACAAAGAAAAACATGATCCTCATTCCTGTTCAGCCCCTTCCCTTTCTGCAGTAGCAGTGACCAAGAGGTAGAAAAGGGAACAAGAAGTATTAGAAATCACTACTCTTCTGGAGTGTCATCTGTTGTTACTATATGACTGAGTAATAGAATACTACAATCTTCAAAGAACTGAAATCAAGAGTCATCCAAAGAGCAGTGGAGAGGCACATGGTGGATACGAGGCTACAACATCTCACTAATGAAAAAATGCACAAAAGTAGCCGCATAAATGATTTTAACTATATGCAGGCCAACCACATGGCAAAAGGAAGGGGTAACTGAGGAAGAGATGGCATGCTTCAACATTATCCACTTCATGTCAAGAGAATTCCAGGAAGATCTCCAGTATAATGGGTGGACCCCCATGAAGGATCTGCAGGAACACAAAGGCAAGAATCACATAAGATTGATGTATGGCAAGCTGCATTGCTGGAGCCGGTACCTAACCATCAAGATCACTGATCCATCGGAGAACTGAAAATTTTGAAAAGCTGGAAGTATGTTCAGGTAGAGATACCCAGGAGATAGAAATATGAGTCAGGAGCTCAAGAGGGTTAAACTTAAAAAGTCAAAACTCATCTGAAATGATACATGTAAAATAACCAAGGGAAAGAACATCAAGAAAAAAAGAATGCAAAAGGCAAGACTATGAAAAATATCAGTTAGCGGTGGGAAGAACTAGGAGAGGGCAATGTCATGGAAGTCAAGGTAGAAGAGTGATTAACATGGTTAAATACAGCAGAAAAGATAAGGAGAAGATAGACTAAGAAAAAGGCCACGGGATTTAAAGATTAGGAGATCAATAAAGACATCTGAGAATAATTTTGGTGCAAAGTTGGTAGGAATAAAAGATTACAAATGGGTTAAAGAGTGAGTGGATGTTGAACAAAAGGAGGCAGTAGGTATGGTCAACTATAAGTTTGGCATGGAAAGTAAAGAAAAAAATGGAGCCTAAAAAGGTAACATGGTCTGGAGAAGCTTTTTTTTTAGGCCAGTGAATCCTTTAAAAAAATTTTGAGAGATGTAGCGAGTATAAATAGGAAGAAGTATATTAACTAATGATAGCTTACATGCAAAAGGTGACATAAGGGATATCATCCAGGAAAGAACCAGAAAACAGGTGAGCCAGTTATATAACTCCAGAAAAGATGCTTTTCTTATACCCAGGAAATATAAAAATACCTAGATCAGAGGTTGCTGATGTTTTTGTGTATCACAGATACCTTTGGTGATCTGGTGATGGCTACTAAGTAATGGTTTTCAAAGAGGCAGAGGAACTAGAAACCAAATTGCCAACATTCACTGGATTTTGGAGAAAGCAAGGAAGTTCCAGAAAAACATCTACTTCTGCTTCATTGATTACACTAAAGCCTTTGACTGGGTGGATAACAACAAAATGTGGTAAATCCTCAAAGAGATGGGAGTACTAGATCATATTACTTGTCTCCTGAATGACTGAACAATTACAACAACTAAATAATGTTTTTAAATGCATAAAATCAAATAGGATTACAAAGGAAACCAATTGTGCTGAAACACACTTATCAAAATATTAAATAAAACAAATTCATGAATTACAGGTTAAGATCTCCTACACTAGATGAAAGCTTCCATTGGATAGATGTTTTCAGCAGGATTAACTGAAGTATACAAGGACTGCATGGTATGAGAGGGTGTAGATGTGTGGCAATCTGTGCTAGAGGAGGGAGTACTCAAACTGATGAGATCACAGACCCAATGAAGGACTAACTCCTAGGGAGAAGTCAAGGAGCTAGTGGAAAGGGGAAAATGGAAAATACAAAAGGAAAGGGACCTTGATGAAAGAAGGTCCTAGAGAAATCAGAAGGTGTTGTTTATTCTGTGTATAGTTATTTATTGGGATCTAAGTATTTTTTCCCCAAGGGGATATATCTTCCATTGCAACTGAAATCAGAGAGAAAATGTGATTAAACACATTTTTAGTTAATAAAACTGTCAGCAAAGTGTAAAAAGCAAAAGTTACATCAGAGAGGTTATAGACTAACTAAATATGCAGAATGAGACATATTTTTTAGCTAATGTGGGAATTTGTTTTATTCAAATATTTATATTTGTTCCACCCTCCCCAGTTTTTTCCAGGTGAGGGGAGGGAGAGATCGGAGGAAAAATAAATACTTATTAATTTAAAAAGTAACTCTTAAAAGTTATATCAAATTGAGTATAAAAATAGGAATTTTAGATACTTTATATATTTGTCACCTTTACAATCTATGCCCTATGTAGACAGGATATATAGCTATACATAAAGCCCTAGATTCCAATTCAATTTTTCAAATGTTTTGAAATTATGGAATGTCTGCACTCTCTGCGCGAGGTGGCAGGGAGGACACAAAAATTAAATTCGCCTACTTTGCTTATACTTTCAAAAGGACTCTGGAATTTCTTTAATTTAAAAGCTTCTGATTCAATGGATTAAAAAAAACAGATTTTCTCTCTGTTCTCCCCTATTTTTCTCTGTAATCCGGCTTCTGCCAAAGACAAATTGGATACTAATATTTAACAAAGAATTTATTTTTTACATTAAGCTATGCAGTGAATATTCCATACAAATAATTAATATAGTTTTTTTTAAATTACAGATTTTAATTCAATTGGATTCATAACTAGCTTTGGAATACTTGCCAAGAAGTCAGAGAAGAGTTGCTAGTTCTTTTGGAAAAGTACCAGGCTTCAAGAGTAATAAACCAAAAACTATTATTCATACCATAACTGGAAGTTTGAGGTGTCCATAATTAAGTCATATTAACACATTCTAAAATATACTAAAGCAAATTTCTGGAAGAAAAGTTATCTAAAAAAGCAGGATTAAATTAAATGTGAGAAATTCTGGCTTACAGTAAAAAAACCAAAGATATGTAACTTACTATTTTTATTCTTTTAATTGAAAAACACTAAGTTTAAAGCAAAAACCCTTTCATATCCTACCAATCCATGAAGTATCACAATGCAAAATTCCAATGCTCACCCAAATGGAACACCAAGGGCACCCAGAGGAGTGACGAGCACAGTCGGAACTGCTGTATAAGCCAAGAAATTTCCAATCTGACCAAGAGCCACTGTTAAGAAAATCATAAAAATATGTCTTATAATCATTACATTAAGATGTATGTTAGCATAAAAGGATTACTATTTGGACCAGAAGTGAAGACATAGTGATAGAGCTTAAATTTTACACTATTAGTTTGAAAAAAAAAACAAAAAACTACTGATGTACATACTACAAAATACCCTACCCCAAAACTCTGGAGAATTATTATCAAACTATTAAAATGATTTAAAATATATTAGTTTTATAGCCAATATTAGAATAATACAGCATTGAAATAACTAGTTTTCAGTCACCTAACAGCACTGGCAATCCAAATAAAAACAAAGTATGAGCTACATTAGAATAAGGGAAATGAATTTTATGGAGTCTCTTCCCTCAACTTATATAAGTAGGGTGGATAACAGATAATATTATATGTACATTCCTTAGGTCCACAAGATGGACCTTGAAACCAATGCTCTCCAAATGTCTTAAAAATATCCATAAAGAAAGAACTCTCAGGTTTGGAGCCCAAGTTGGTGTTGAAATCATATACATTTCAATGCTAACTGAAAATCTGTAATAATTCTTTAAGGAGAGAATTTCAATTAAAAAGACACTTCATATTTCTTATCATAAAAAAAGCTTTAAAAATAAACCTCATAGAATCCGTTCAGTTTCTAACATGCCTTTCCTTTGGGGAATTTAAGGTGCAGAATTAAAATTCTCACTATACATATATATATATATACACACACACACACATATATGTATATATATATACACTATACAAACTATCATATAAATTACTGTACAGCATTTATTTTGATGAACAAAAGTGAATATTTCAACATATTAAATTCTACTTAATTCATGTGATACCTAAGTGTTTCCTTGGTAATTTGAAAAAATAGGATATTTAGGATATAAGTGGCCTGAAACTATGGGCACATCTTGTGCACTGGGAAAAGCTGACTCAGAAGCAAGGTTTGAGGTAGAAGAAAAAGATAATGGCATAATTTTTCCCCCTATTCCTTCCTCCCCATTCCCACCACCAGTTCTCTCCATCTGTCCCCACTCTCAGCCTCCTTGTCCTTTCTACCCTAACTTATTCCATTCCAAAAAAAGGAAGAGAATAGTGAGGAGGAAATGAGCTCCGGAAGGTACTTCAGGTACTCAGAAGAAGCAGAATGAAATTAAAGCCACCCAGAAGAACCAGTACGTCATTCCCCCAGACCCCTAACTATGCTTGGAATGAATGATTGCTTTTAAAAAAAAAGAAAGAAAAGTCATTTTAAGATATACTTACTTGCAATTGTTCCAGACCACCAAACTATGTCTGTTAAATATGAAGTACCTGTGAAGGACAAGAGGAGAAAAAAAATATAGTAACAGATGTGTGTCTGTAAAGTGAACACAACTGCATTTTCATGTAATGAGAAAAAGCAAGTTCTTAATCACAAAATTAGTGTTAGAAGGGGTCTCAGAGGTCATTAAGTTCAACCCTGCACCTGGACAGGCACCTCTCCTCTATTATCTATCTATCCACCCATCCGTCCATCCATCTATATTACATATCTATGTTCTACTAGTATATAAAATATGCTATACAGATGATACATACTAGCCTATATACTATAGACTACATATATGCTATAAACTATATATACTATACATAAATTCTCTATTTCTCTCTATGTATATATACACATACTATCTATATCACACATACATACTATATTTTCTATGTGGTATATAAAATACGCTAATGGATGATATAACTATATAATCTATATACTACATATATACTACAAACTATATATAATATATTTAGATTCTATTTCTCTCTCTATATATAGTGTCTATCTATATCACACATATATACTATAGTTTCTATGTGGTATATAAAATATGCTATATAGATTATACATACTACATAGTCTATAACTACATATATACACTATAAACTATATATGCTATATATTTCTATTTCTCTCTATAGTATCTATCTATATCAGGCATATATACTATATTTTCTATATAGTATATAAAATATGCTATATAGATTATATATATACAGTCTATATGCTACATATATACACTATAAACTATATATACTATGTATAGATTCTTTCTATTTATATAGTATCTATCTACATCACCTATACACTATATGTTCTATATAGTATATAAAATATGCTATATAGATGATATGCACTATATAGCCTATATCAGGCCTGCACAATTTGTGGCCGGTGGGCTGCTTACAGTCCGCAGGCCACTTGTGGAATGCCAAAGGATTTCTTCTACCTTCAAAGGAGGTTTTCCTCTACATTTTTTGCAGGTTGTCCAAAATCCTTTGGCATGTGGCAAGTGGCCAAGGGCTGTAAGCGCCCATAGGCCACAGGTTGTGCAGACCTGGTCTATATACTACATACAGATTATAGAGTATATACACTATAAACTATATATAGATTCTCTCTCTCTCTCTCTCTCTATATATATATTTATGCACACACATAGTATCTACCTATATCACACACACATATACTCTATATTTTATGTAGTATATAAAGTATGCTATATAGACAATATGCACTATATAGTCTATACACTACATATAGATTATGTTATATATAAACTATATATATACTATAAACTATAAACTATATATACTATATATCGATTCTATTTCTCTACATCTATATACATATATGAAACTACCAAGGTATATCTGAAAAACTGATCTAACCATTAAAATAATTTAAAATGTTTTAAATTTTGTACCAAATATTAAAGCATACACACATACACATATATACATATATATACACACTCAAACCTTCTCCCATATCCCATGTTTGTTGATGATACTATCATCTCAGACAAGCAGTCCTGAAACCTTGAAATCACTGATTCTTCCTTCTCCCTCATACAGAATTAGTTGCCACAGCCTGTCAATTATACATGGCTAACTTTTTTTCATCTACTCTATTCTCTCTACTCTTATTCTGGCCTTCATCCTACTTCTTGCCTGGATTATTGTAGTTGCCTAACTCATCTCCTTGTTTTCAGTCTGTCCCCTCGATTCAATTAGGGAAGCATTTATTAAGCACCAACTATGTATAAGGCACTGGCGCTAGATACTGAAGATAAAAAGGCAAAAATGAAACAGTTCTTGATCTCAAAAAGCTTATTTTCAACATGTACACAAATAAAGAAAAACAAAAGTATATGCAAATTTTAACAGAGAAAGGAAGAGAGATGAGGAGGGAATAAGGGAGGGATAGAAAGAGAGAGGAAGGGAGGGAGAGGGAGGAGAGAGAGAGGGAGAGAGAAAGAGGGAGGGAGAGAAGAGAGAGAAAAAGAAAAAGAAAAGGAGAGAAAGGAGAGAGGGAGAGGGGGAGAGAGAGAGAAAAGAAGAAAAAGAGAGAGAGAAGAAGAGAGAAAAGAGAAAGGGCGAGGCAGATGGAAAGGGAAAGGGAGGGAGGGAGGTAGGGAGAGAGAGAGAAAGAGAGAGAGGAGAGGAGAGGGAGGGGGGAGAGAGAGAGAGAGAAGAGGAGAGGGAGAAAGGCAGGGGGAGGGGGGGGGAAGAGAGAGAGAGAGGAGGGGGGAGAGGGGGGAGACAGAGAGTGAGGGGGGGGAGAGAGAGAATTAATAACTGGGGGAAAGGGATGTCAGGAAAGGTGTCTTGTAAGAGGCAGCACCTGAGATATTCTTGGTGGTTGTTTTTGTTTTCGAATGATTAAGCATTTATTCATTTTTTTCTTCCTACCTCCCCCATCCACGAAAAAAAAAAAGAAAAAGAGAACAAAACCCTTGTAACAAAGCAATTCCTATGTAGCAAATGTGTCTCATTCTTCATATCTAATCCATCACCTCTCTGCCAGGAGGTGGGGGGCAGCATTCTTTATCATTACTGCACTGATCAAAGTTCTTAAGTCTCAAATTGTACACTTTTGCAATGGTATGGCTGGTGTAGAAATTACTCTCCTGCTTCTGGTGTACCATATATGCTTTCATTGCAAGTAGGGATTCTAAGAAGCAGGTGAAGCAGGTAAGGTCCTTGAGGGCAGGGGCTTTTTTTGTGCATTTGTATCCCCAAAACTTAATACTGTGCTTCAAATATAATAAGAACTTAACTTCTTGTGAATTGATTGTTAGATACTGTTAGACTACAATATACCTCTAGGAAGAAGTGAAGAAAAAGAGAACATTCCAGCAATGGAAGATCATATGTGAAAAGACATGGAGGTGAAGCAATGTGGCTTATGAGGAATGGTTAGTAGGCCAATGTGACTAGAACTGAAGTACTGAAGGAAAATAACATGAATGTAAAATGAAATTAGAATGGCAACTAAGAAGTTAAGGAAAGGCTTCATGAGATTGACTCGAGTTCAGTAATTTGGGAAACCAGATATTCCAATGGGGGAAATGAGAAAGGATGGCATTCGAGGCTTGGGGTACACCAAGTTTGAAGTCAAAGAGATGGGAGATGGCGCATCACCCCAAAAAGTAAGTATTCTGGTAGAACTGCGCAGTTTAAGAAAAGGGGTAAATAGAGGCAGCTAGGTGGCGCAGTGGATAGAACTCCAGCCTTGGCATCAGGAGGACCTGAGTTCAAATCCGGCCTCAGATATTTGACACTTACTAGCTGTGTGACCCTGGGCAAGTCACTTAACCCCGACTACCTCATCAAAAAGGAAAAAAAGAAAAAGAAAAAGGTAAATTGTAGGAAATTTGTAATGCTAGGAATGGACCAAGTTTTGAAGAGCTTTAAATGACAAACTCAAGTTACATTTGATCCCTGGCCCCACTCCAATCCAAGTCAGCAAAATAGGAGCAGGTAGATGATGTAGGTCCAGACCAGCCCATGTGAGAGGGACGAACTGCATCACTGCCCTCTCTACTCCAGCCTTCCCAGTGAGCCCCAGAAGAGGAAAAGGGCTACTGATGATGATGACAGTTAGCATTTATATAGCACTTGCTATGTGCCGGGCCCTATGCTTTATAATGAGTATCTTATTTGATCCTCACAATCACCCTGGGAGGAAGGTGCTATTATTCTCCCCAATTTACAGACAAGGAAACCGAGGCAGACAGGGGTGAAATGACTTGTCCAGGATCCTATAGCTAGTGTCTGAGGCCAGATTTGAAACCAGAACTTCCTTATCCCAGGCGTAGCACTCTATTCACTCCCCCCGCCCCCCCCATCCGGGGCCCTTGCCCAGTAACAACATCCACTGGAGGCTTTAAGCATTATTATCCATCTGCCAATTATTACTTCCCCAATGGCTAATTTCCTCTGACTATTTTCTCCCTATTCCTGGATTACTCAATTACCAACCATGCAGAGTCACCTACTGCTCAAATCCCATCTCTTATTCTCTAATCCTCATTCTTCTCAATCCTCCCCCACCCTATCCTTCTAAAAGGGACTGCATGCCCCTATTACAACACCATTTCCTCCTGACTAGAGTTTCCTCTCTGCTCCTTTCCACAACTGTAGCTTCACTTTTCCTTAAAGGATGGCTATCAGAGAGTAGTAGATAAAGAGCTGACTTTGAAGCAGGAAGACCTGGGTTCAGGTTCTGTCTTTATCATGTATTAGTTGTGTGACCCTGGGCAAATCATTCTAATTCTTAGTGCTCAAAGTGACTCTGTAGCACTATAAGTATTAGTTGCTCAAAAAGTGTCTTACTTGTATTGGGTGAGGGGGAGCTCCTCACCAGGGGGAAGGGGCTCCAGGACCAATGAAATCACAGGCCCAGTTCCCGTGCCCACTGCTATCCCTATGTTTATTCTATACATTATTATCAAGGTCATTAATAATAATATTATTTTTCTGTACATTCCATACGTACTCCTAAATTGTTTCCCTTGTTGCGGGTTATTAAAAGAATTGTGCAAATTTCCTCACTCGCTTCTTCCTGTTCAATTTTGAGCCCAGTTCATAGGCCATAAGCAACATCTTCAGTGAGATGTTTAGAATATGAAAGAGAAGGATAAGTGGAAATTTTAATATCACCAGTGCTTATCTTACTTCCTTATGTTCCCACACTGAAGGTTTTACATGACAACTCTCAGGAATTTCACAAATTAAATGGGGTATAACAATGTTATTTGAAACAATACCACAAAAAACATGTATCACTGGAAGACCAATGGAAGATTCTTTGTTTCAACAGGGCCTTTTCAGGTTCAGGCAGTGAAACCCAAGGGGCTGTCTTCCTGTCTAATTCCTAAGTTACAGACAAAGAAACCTAGAAATAGAACTGAGTAGAAACACTGTCCCACACATTGCCCACCGAAAACCACAAAACCCAGATGAAGTGGTGGTTGCTGGACTGGATTCTC